GCGAGGGTAGGAGGGTCTGTGTCAGCTCGGCAAGGTGCCGGTGGGCACATGGAGCGGGTCTTTCTGCGGAGAGTCGTAGAGCACAGCTGCGGTGGGGTCTGCCTCTTGCCGCCGGGCCTGGAGCGGTGTGACAGCTGGCCTGTGTGGCACTCGCTCCGGATGGGAGAACTGCGGACGAGGTGTTGTGCTCAGTTTATGTAATTCCTACACGGATTTAGAGACGACTACAGAACACAAAGAAGCGTGTCCGTATAGTTGAGGTTTCACATGCAGAAAAAATGAGTTAATCTGTAGATATAGTAGTCAGACTTACATACCTCAATAAAATCAGAAAAGTACAATGATCTTCAGCAAATTGTCATTACTTAAAAAAAAAAACAAACAAACTCAGAAGACTGCAACTGTCATTAGGTAATAAAAAGTGTTTGGACTATAAGGTATCACAGAACAGTAAAGCATCAGTTGGTTTTAGGACAGGCTTTTCAAAGAGTTTGGTTGAAGTAAACGTGAGCCACTGATACAATGAGCAAGGTGCTGACTTGACTGGGGAGAACTAGAAGAGAACTCCAAAACACTCACTGTCACACTAATGGGGTAGTATTGTAGTCTGTTACCTACCTACCCTTTTGCTCCATCCCTCTAAATCCTTCTTGGCCCCTTTGTTGCTGGTAGCATCCTTTTTTTGGGAGGGGGGGGGAGGGGGTGTGTGTGTTCTTATTTTTTCCAATGAGATGAAGAGGACCGTTTCTTGGGAACTTGGCCCATATGCAATAACATGAGAAGAACGAGTGAAAACAGAAGTAGTGAAGGAGGGTAAATGTTTCTTAATAAATTGTTCGCTTACAAAAGGACTTTTCTGTTATACTTTTTTGTATGCGTATAAAAGCAATAAAATTTTCCATAAGTATTCATGGCTTGAGGTAAGGGAATGCTGATTCTGAAGAGAAAAATACTTTTCTAGGTCAAACTTCTATGTTTAAAGCACAGGTGGCCTTTTTTGTGAGAGATTTTTAAATAGAAGGTTAATTATACAATAGAAATAGGATTGTTATTTCAAATGCATGATGTGTGCAAAATGAAATAAAATGACTGAAATAGATAACAGACTTATGTCCCTGTCTTTTCTCAGCCTTCTAGCAGTGGCCGAGCTGCAGAGCTCCTCGCCAAAGAACGTGGAACAGTGCCTGGGTTTATTGGCTTTGGAACATCTCCGAGTGATCTAGGATATGTTCCTGCAGTTCAAGGCGCAGAGGAAATAGACAGTCTTGTGGATGCTGATTTTCGAATGGTGTTGCGAAAACTTTCTAAAAGGGATATCACAACAAAATTAAAAGTAGGTGTATCCTTTGTCCCCCATAAATTTTTTTAGCAGAAAACAATACATTTTTCTTAAGGGTCGGAGAGAAATATGTCAAGGTAGCTAATGCTAATTTCATATTGTTAAATTTGCTAGAACTGCAATCCAGAAGGTATGTCGGAGGACTTGTCACAGAATCACAGAATCTGTTTGGTTGGAAGAGACCTCTGGGATTATTGAATCCAACCTTTACCCTAACACCACCATGTCAACTAGACCATGGCACTAAGTGCCATGTCCGGACATTTCTTGAATCCCTCTGGGGATGGGTGGGGACTCCACCACCTCCCTGGGCAACCCATTCCAATGCCTAACAACACTTTCTGTGAAGAAATGCCCCCTCGTTTCTAGCCTGAACTTCCCCTGGCCTAGTTTCAGACTGTGCCCTCTTGTCCTGTCACTGGTTGCCTGGGAGAAGAGGCCGACCCCCACCTGGCTACCCCCTCCTTTCAGGTCGTTGTAGAGAGCGATCAAGTCTCCCCTCAGCCTCCTCTTCTCCAGGCTAAAAAGGTCCTTATAAAAAGGACCTTTATAAAAAAGGTCCATCGCTCGATGCTGGTAGAGCATTCTTAAAATTAACCCTATAGATGCTTAATTGCAAGAAAGGAATGGATTTTTGAAAAACAGAGTTGCAATGTCTGGTAGAAGCTGGTAAATTACAGAACATGTCTGTCTGACTTAAATCATGCTCCTGATATTTTGATTTTAGGCTATGCAAGAGTTTGGGACAATGTGCAAGGAAAGAGAAGCAGAAGTTGTTAAAGGTGTTCTTCCTTATTGGCCAAGAATTTATTGTAAAATCTCACTAGTAAGTATTAAAGTATGTAAATTAAAAACTTCTCTGGATACTTCCTGTGAAAACCTCTAAGGCAGTCTTTGTTGATTATCTAACTTTCTTGGAATTACTGACTTGTTCTAGGAGAAACATGAAGTTGAAGTCAAGTAGCGTTTTTTATTGTGGAGAAGTTTCAGTATTGGCAGTGGGTGGAATCTTGAACTGTTGGTGCCTGGGCTGTACTTGCTGGATAGAGATAGCTGTTTGTTAGACCTTTCTGTTAAAAAGATGACAAGATATTTCTTCTCATGAAAAGTTCTTTTATGCAGATTCCAGAACGACTGAAGAGAATATACTGTTAAGTTAACATAATTATAAATCTTTTTGATCTAGGATTAATATCTGACCAGACTTAATATTTAAAAAAAAACCCAAACAAACAAAAAAACCCAACAAAAAAGCCCAAAAAACCCACACAGAAACCCCCCAATAACAAAAAACCCCACCAAAACCAAACCCAAACATGAAAAGACCATGTGTAGCCAGATAATCTGTAATTTTCTGATATATTGACTACATTTCCAAATTATCTGGACTGGCTACTGATGGAAACGTGATACTGGACAAAAGGAATCACTGTTCTGATCCATTAGAGCAATTCCTAGTGTTTCTTTCAGGAGCCAAGAGCATAGAAAGTCATGATGTTGTAAATTCATATGCAAATAATGGATAATGATGCACGATTTGTGTAAGCTTATGGTTGTTTTAATCCAAAAAGTGTCTTCAAGGCTTCTTCTTTCTCTTGCCTCTTGACTTTATGTTAAATGTTTGTATAAAATGGAGATAGAAGCTGTAGTTAGGGAGGTCAGGAAAAGGTTACAATTTTGAAGGTACAACACATCTGGAATATGATGCTGCTAAGTTAGGACTCTCCCCTTAGATAGGGATACCAAGACTTTTTTGTCGTTATTGTTGCATATTTTCAAATCTATATAGCCCAATTCATTGCGAAAATGGCTGAACTGAGAGACAGCTTTTTTTTTTTGTCATCACTTCTGCTTTGAAGTACCCAGCATCAAAGGTACATTTCTTAAAACAATAAGTCTTGCTTTTTTTTTGTTCTTTTTTTTTTTTTTTAACAGGATCATGATCGCCGTGTTCGAGAAGCAACTCAGCAATCTTTTGAGCAACTGATTCTTAAAGTAAAGAAACACTTAGCTCCTTACTTAAAAAATATCATGGGATACTGGCTGATTGCTCAATGTGACACTTACTCTCCTGCTGCTTCTGCTGCAAAAGTAGCTTTTGAAAAAGCTTTTCCATCATGCAAACAACCCGAAGCCTTAGTGTTCTGTAAAGATGAAATTCTTAACGTGAGTTTATACTTTTGTATTTCTTTAAGGCTTTGTGTTGAGTATATGTCAACTTTTATTACAAGTTTAAAACTCGTCCTGCCCCCATCTATTCTTCATAAATAAATTTCTTTCTCACTTGAAACTTTGCTTCTGCTAATGTGAAGAGAAGACAGAGGCAAAAATACATGCTCTGGTTTTTTGGACTTGTGGTTAGAATGACTCAAACCGGAGGAATGAATATGAAGTGAATTTTCTTGTGTACGTTTCTGTGTAATGATGCTCGGTCATCACGTAGTGTTGCTGACAGATGGAATAATGATGCTGGAGTAGCTTAGTTGCAGTGGTAAAGGATTAAAGAATGCTGAGCAGTGTTTCAGAGTGCCTCTACAAGTTTAGTTCTGACCAAGGTTAATGCTCTTCTGCCAGTTGTATATGAAACTGAATTGACTGAATTTAAAAAGGTGACAGTTTGCATTGCTGGCCTATCCTGTGCAAAATTTTATTTTGTCTCAGCTTGGCTTCTTTTTACCAGAAGCATGTTGGCATTGAGCTGCAACTTCCAAAGTATCATGAAGTCTTGACTCAAACAGTACCACAGCTCCTGTATTCGACAGGAGTCAATTGGATTGTGTTCTTGTTTACTAGCATGTCTAAAATGTGTTTAAAAGACTTGACTCGGAGGTTGTGAAGTTTTATTGTAGAGCTGTTTCTGAATAATGTATAGACTATATTATTCACACATAAATACTAGATTCTCATGTGCATGTGTTTCTTTTCCACTAGGTACTTCAAGATCACCTTCTGAAAGAAACGCCCGATACGCTCAGTGACCCCCAGTATGTTAGTTTGCTTTGATGTATATGGTTTAAGTCTTGGTCCCTATAGGGTTCTCTGTCCCTGGAGATAGTGGATTTAGTTTTGTTTCAAGAGCCAGAATAGTTCTTTGAGTTCAAATCCCAGCAACTTTTTTGGGACTAAAGTATAAATGCTTTTGAAAGTGTTATTGGTTGCCCAATTCTTACTTCAACTTTTTGAGGAGTAGCATTTTTTAATAGCTGGAAGATGAGATGACTTGAAGCTCTTCTCTTTTTCTAACACTTCATAATGTAATTTGGTAGCATTAGAACCTATGGAAAGTTTGCATATTTATATTGCCAGCATCTGAAATCAAAAGAATAACAGGAAAAACTGAGGACAGTTTGGTTTAGAGAGTTTAGAAGAGCTCGAGGAGCATATTGATTTATTTATGGTTCACTTTAATTTGTTTTGTTTTCCGAGAACTGTACCAGAGGAAGAAAGGGAAGCCAAATTTTTCCGGATTCTGACCTGTTCCTTGTTAGCTTTAAAAAAGTTGCTTAGCATGTTGCCAAAGAAAGAGATGCGTTCATTGGAGGAAAAGTTAATGTCACTTCTGTCCCAAAACAAATTCTGGAAATACAGCAGACACAGCATACCACAGGTGACTTTTTAATTTCTTCTTTATTTTGGTTGTTTTTAGTTAAAGATAATACAGTGAACCTAAGCAAGTATTAATTACTTGTTTTCTGCAGGAATGAACTTTGCACTTCGCTGAATTATGTTTGAAACAGCCTTCAGATTTCTAGGCCTTAAATAGACAATATTACTCCAAAATTTGCCAAGTAGGCTCATTTGTTATTTCCGTGTCACCATCATCTGCTTTTTGGCAATCTGCCGTCATTTCGGCTTCATGTGAAAGATACAAACTGTGTCAGCTTACTGCATGTGCTTTAGTGCTTTTGGGTTTTCAGTTTTTTAAACCATTTTATTGGTCATTGGTCTGCTAAGGCCAGTAGTGCATAGAGTGATGAATTGATTCTGGTAGCATTTTGTTAAAAAGTTTTAAGGTGCTTTTGGGAAAACATACCTTTTGAGAAGTATACTAAAATAAAATTTTTTATAAGCATTTTATCAGTAAACAAATTACTTTAAAATATTGAACAGGCTTATCAAATAACCGCTTTATTTTTCTTTACTTTTAATAATATTTAAAATACTATTAAAACCTTTGCTAATATGATAAAATGCAGGGCCCGTGTGTTGTAAGTCATGGTGGCTTTAAAAGGAATGTTATAAGCTACATGTAGTGACAAAGTATTGTCATTTGACTAAAATTTTGTTTTTCTCTGTGGCCCATGGCAGGTTCGCTCAGCTTTCTTTGAGCTGGCTTCTGCTTTTTGCCAGTACTTGCCTGATCTGGTGAAGGCTGAAGCACCAAGAGTTTGTCCTGCTGTTCTTCTCGGCATTGACGACAGTGATGCAGTGGTGTGTCCTGCTCTTTGGGAAGCTGTACTTTGTGCTGTCACCACTATTGAGGTAATGTGGGAAACCGAAGGGGCAGATGCCTTACTCTAAATTAGCTTTTCCCTGGGTGCCATTGTTCTTTGTGTAGAATTAGGAAGAACGGCTTGACTGGGTGTTCTTTAATAACATGAACTTATCAGTGCTACGTGTTCCTTCTTCCTCCTTAGGGTTTCAGTGTAACTTTCAAATATATTGTGTCCAGCGCATCTGAAAATCAGAGTTGTTTTCTGAGTTTATTAACTTAACCTGAATCCCGTTGATTAAATACAGTTACTAATAAGTAAAAAAATACTTAAAACCTTTTTCTTGGTTAAAGACAGTTACAAAAATGACCTGCAGTGCATTTTTGGTTTGTTTGATTCCCTTTCTAATTTAATGCTTGGTACTGTAGCTTTTTTTTTGCCTTTTTAATTTTTTTTTTTAATTTTAAATGAAATACCAGCTTAGAATTTATTAGCAGGATGAGTGGTGTTGCCACAGACTGGGATGTTTTGAGGGTTTAATGCTGCAGATCTCTTTTGTAACTGCTGGTATAAACTGTAACAATTTCTGGGGAAAAAAAAAAATAAATCTTTGTTCAGCTTGCTATAAGTATAGGTGTCTGGAACTATAAATCAGATCAGATGACAAAAAACTTCAGGGTGTGGGGGGAAAGTGCCAAAGTATTTTGTAACAATAAAAAAATTTTTGAGGAGAGTTTTGAAGTTAGTGATGCTTCTAAAGTTAGGATTTTGAAACCATTGCTCATTTTTGATAATAACAACTCAGAATTAAATACAGGACCAGTTACAATGATGATTTCTATGAAGCATCCTTAAGGCATTATTAAAGAGGAGCCTTTAATTGCAGTTTGCTAACAAGGAGGATCCGTCGATTTTCAACAATACAGAAACAGTTTTATCACTGCAGCTTCTTCAATTCACAAGCTGAAATAGGGAGAAAGCGGTTTTTAAAAATACTGGCAAGTGAGTTTAAATGTTACAATAACTTGTTTCAGCTACAACATAAGGAGGTAGATTAAATGTCTAGGTTTGGAGTTCTTCCAAGGCAACATATTCTCATTTAGTTTCCAGTAAGCGTATTTTTTTCCGTAGGACTGCTGGAGTCACGTGAATGCCAAGAAGGGAGTTCTACCAAAACTATGGACAGTGCTTCGAGAAGGTGGACGAGGGCTAGCTACTGTTATATACCCAAATCTCTTGCCATTCATTAGCAAGGTACCTGCTGGCATTGCAGAACCAAAGCTGGAGTATTTCAGAACTTTTTTCAGCTCTATGATTCAAGGGTATGAACCACAAATTTATTCCTTTATTTATTTATTTGAAATCAATCTCTTTTACATTTGGAAATAGGAGAACTGATCTTCTTTAAGCCTTTAAAGATAAGTAACATATCATTTGGCTTGAGGATATTTAAATATGCATTAATTGTTTATTTGAGAAAAGGCTGTTTTCACTATGATGTGTGAAAATTACATTTTTAAAATACTTTAAAATATCCAAAACTGGGGTTAGTCCTCCTTTGTGGCTGTCCCTGTCTTCTTAAACCTTCAACCTTCTTTTTAATTTTACTACACCTTCCTTACCTAAAGCATTCTTATCTTTTGTTGTCAAAGCTTTGTGTTTATTCCATAATAAGTTTTAAAATGAGAAATTAATTTAAAATTAACGGTGGCTCTGAAGATATCAGGCTCTTCTCACCTGTGTGTAATTATTGCAGAGGTTATTGGGGATTAGCACTGTGATTGCGAAATTTCCTGTATGCAGGAGCTTGAATTCTTATGGTACTGATTTTCAAAGGATTGAAACTGCTATCATTTTTTACCTTTAAAATACGTCAAATCTAACTTTCTAGCAAATCCATTTAAATAGATGCATGTGCATTGTGTACTCAAAAACATACATAAATTATTTCATGAAAGGCTAAAATGTAACTTTATTTAAACAAAAATCAATTCTTGATCAATGTCAGTGTGGCCATTAGCAGAGCTCTTGGAGAAGAGACTTAAATATGAGTTGGTTTTGAAAAGGGTATAGAATTTTATTACAAGTAGTAACATGATTATAATATTTGTATGGTAATTTGTGTGGTCTAATTTTCATTAAAAAGCAAATGAATCACAGTTGTTCAGTGGTGAAACTATCTTTTGGTGGCTTTTTGTTTTAGTTTTTTTTTTCTTTTTTCTGTAATGACAGAAAGTGACACTTCCTAAACATCTGTGGTGTGTGTAGGAAATTGCAAAGGAGTTTTGACAAACAGCTGAGCAGTTTGCATGACTGGATGTGTTTCCTCTGTTTACACACATACTTTTTAATGAACGCTAAAAGTAGATGAAAAAGTTATTTTAATCTAAGTTATATTAAATATCTGGATTTGTTGTTTTGACTCTTTAAATATGTCCTGTTGAATTTGTTTTGATCTGACTCCTGTCAATGCTTCTGTGATTCTACATTCTCCTATTGGTGTTGTCTGGATCAGAACAACATAACCAAGGTTACATTCATTACATACCTACTGGGTTTCTCGGAAGTGTAGATGTCTGAGCGTGCCCTCCCTCCGATGTTGCCTTTCAACAGGTTGTCAAGCGAGCGAGCAATAGCCAGCCCTTCAGAAAGTTCTGCAATTATAACCGCATTTATGGAATGCCTGCGCTTTGCCATACTACAGAAAATAGACGAAGATGATGACCAAAGACAAATTCATCAGATGCTTATATATGACCAGGTATTTATTAGAAATACTTAATGTTGTTGTGTGTACGTTTCGTAATTCAAAGTTAAAGAAAAATGTAAATTTCTGTGAGGATTTACTTCTCTGTTGAAAGTTTCACTAGATTTTATGGAAAAAAGAATGTTACTGGATTTAGTCAATTTTTTCCTTCCTATAAAATCATCCCTTTTACTGTGCAGTTTAAGTTATATTAAAAGAAAAAAAGCATCCCACCTGTGTATTTTTATTAAGTGTTCAAACGTGAGTAATTCTCATGTTTTCAGTATTGCTTCTGGAATGTTTTTCAAAATTATAGAATTTCCTGCTATTACAAAGAATAAAATGATCATCTAGTTGGATCACTGTTCTTTAATAGTGTGTGTGTTTGTGGTTTTTTTTTGTCTTCGTAGCTAATTCCTCTTACCAGTGCTGTACTTAAGGAGCCCAGGTTACAAAATGGACCGTTATTTTATCAAATAGCAGAAATGCTGAGCTCCTGGGAAGCTAAAGCAGAACGCTCCAATGATGATGACGGAGATGAAGTTTTTCAGAATCTGTTGTCAAATTTTTGGGACCATCTTTTAAAAATGTGTGTACTTCACGTTGATACGTTGGATGCTGATGAGAAGTCATTGTTTGCCGTATCTGGTATGCTAGAAATTCTTCAGAATCCAAAGAGTGCTACAAACCCAAACAACAGGAAATCTCTAAAAATCAGATTTACAGATGAGGATGAATCCGAAAGAAACACAGAGAATGGAAAGCTTATGGAAGTGAGAAATGGTGACTCTGAAATAAAGGCTGACTCACAGCATAGCTCAGTTCTAAGGAAAGAGCCTTTAGAGAATTTAGTCTGCAGCCTTGCTGAACTGAGTATTGTGTATGTCAATGAACAGAAGTCAGAACAGCATTTGAAATTTCTTTCTGCCCTGCTCAACTCTTTTTCTTCAAACAGAGTTTTTCAAGTACTTTTAGAGCAGGGAAACGATGCAAGCTGTGCTCAAGCTGAATTTCAAAACGAAATCAAAGCTCATCATGAAAGTCCATCTGTGCAGTTTCTGTATATGAATTTAATAACTTGGCTGAAAGAAGACTGGAGAAAAGACACCCATTTTCTGGTTGATATTTTGTACAGTGTGCTTAACTGTTGCAACAGTAATGATGAAAGGAAAGTCATTCTTGATGATTTAACAAAGGTATGACTTGCACATGTTGTTATTAGTTTTTATCAAAGTGACTACTCTTTTCGTGGGCTGTGATTAGTTAATAACTTTATTCTGGGGCTATGGAATGGAAGATGTTCTACATGAAGGTGCATAAGTTCGGTGTAAGGAGGGTAGAGTTAGGAAAGGTTCACATAACAGTGTCGGGGTGAAAGGTTATGACATGTCCCTTTCTATATGGAATAAATAATTTTTAAAAAAAAAGTGACATCAGAATGTCTCCGTTCTTCCTTCTTTATACAGTGTGCTTTTATACTAGTCATCGGTGGCCTTTCGTATAAATACAGTCCCCTATTGATCTAGAAAGACTTGGTAGCCAAAAGTATGATCAATAATTTTGTTACTGAAAGTTAGCAACTTCTGCTTATCCCCTGCAGAAAATAAAGTTGTAAAACAAGCAGTTAAAATGGTATTAAATGCTTCCTATTCAGCAAATAATTTGTTAAATATTGTGGAATTTTGTTTTTCTTTTCAGATGGATCTGAAATGGATTATTTTTCTCCAGATAATTCAAAAGGTACCTCTTAAGACTTTTCTGTTCTTGTTTTGCATAGTTTTGAATATTTCCCTGGTGTTACCTTTGAGAGTTACATGTGTTTGACTTTTTTTTTTTTCTCCTTAATTTAAGTAGTGATAATTTCCATGGTTTGAAAATCTTGTAATAATAGTTTCAGAGTGTTGTTTGGTTTGACTGCATTTAAATCTGGGGACTGTCTTAGAAATGAAATGATGGTACCAAACCAAAAGCATCTTTATCCCTTCTATTTTTGGTCAGTTTGCTCTTTGAACGAGGGGGGTTCCTGATTTGTTTCTGGTCATCTCTTCTAAGCTAGAGAGAGTGGAGTTGGGTCTTAGACCAATAATTTCAATTATTATTTGTATCATCACCCTTAGGTCCTGCTTACAAGGGAAAGATAGTATACCATGTTTTCACACAGGATGTTGAGAAACTGACATTTAAGTGATTGCCTGGGATGAAATAGGAAGTGTATTAGAAATTTTTGGGCAAAAACTCATAGCACTTGATTTACAATCCAGTGCATTGACCATAGTAGCTTTCCTTGCAGATACCATGTATTTTAGGAATCCTCTGTTTTCGTGATTTTGTAACTTATAATGGCTTATCACCAAAATAATGTTTTTCTGATTTCTGACCTTCCATTTCTTTTTAGAGAAATTCAGATGCTGTAAATAGATTTTATGTTATAAATAGATTTTATTTCAGCCAATCTGGTCATCTAAAAGTTACCTTTCTAACTCCAGTGTAGACATTCCATGGGCTCTGTAGAAGAGTTCTCAGTTCCCCTGAGAAAGGGAAAAAGGAATCTTTCAGAAGGTGAATTTTCTCACTCTAAGGTAGAGGTCTGACTTAGCTGTAAGTTGCTGACTCTGACCAAAAAGAAAGTTGGGGGGATTGTTGCAGATGTAAACACCTAGAGACATATTATTAATGACAGATAATATGATTCCCAGTCTGTGTGTGCACATTTGACATATTAATCTTATGCTTAGTTAGTAATAAAAGTTAATAGCCTCAAAAGATTATTAGAATTATTTTCTTGTGATTCAGGCATGCTCAAGCACAACAAAACTTTCTTTAGTCTCTGACTGGCTGAAAGGAGATACACTTGGAGGAAGACTTGTATTGCTGGCAGATGATCTGTGTCACCTGGGTTTAAAACCCATAGCAGCCTCCTCAGAATCATCCTCTTCAGAAAGGTGGACCCTCCTGAGCTTAGTGTTGTCGCAACACATTAAAAATGGTAAACATATTTATTCCTTGGAGTTTGTGAAGTGTAAAGACTGCATTTATGCTTTGTAGAAGGTTGAAAGGAATTTGAGATATTAATTTGTAACCTCTAGGCTTTCTTCTTTTTTTTACCTGAGCCAGTTGATCGTGTCCAGTTTAACTTTGTAAACTCTAACTTGCAGCAGCGACACTGCAATTTCTGTGGTGTGCATTGCTAAACAAAAGTCAGTGTTTAAACAACAGATTGAGATTTGCAAATCTAGAAAACTTGAGGAAAATTTAAATAAGTTTGATTTATTAGCTGATGTGGTGTAAAATAATATTAATTTTTAAACCATACCATCTGAAATTTACCTTCAAAACTAGAATATCAAAAGTAGATGGTTGCGGAGCCGTGCGTGCCTTGGTAATGCCTTGTTCCAGGACCTATGAATTGTTGCAAGCCATTTTGAGTTAGATTCATGTATTGTAGAAACTGTGTGTGCACACTTATGCTGTATATGTAATCTATTTTTTATTGCCATCATCCTATTTCACTTCCATGTGTTTTGTGGTGCCTGTGATAGCGACTTCCAGTGGAGTTCAATTTTCTTTGTTTTCCCTGTAAACTTGTCATTTGTGTCTGGTTAAACTCAGCATTTGCTTTGATCCCTGAGGTGGCGTACTTCAGTGTATGTGAATGCTGGGCACAGTCGTGGTGCTTTCAGCTTTCAAAGATGCAGCCAACGAGCGGACTGCAGTGGATGTTCATAGATAGCACATCCTGAAGGTGTTGTAAGACTGTTACTTCTGTTACTGGAACTTTTGATGCAGAGGAGCATCAGGAAAACCTGTTCCCTCTCTCCAGAGAGAGTTCAACAAACTTGTTTGCTTGTTAGTCAGTGGTGTCCTCAGGCCGATTGTCCCTGGACTTTGCTTTTTGGCTCTGGAGCTGGAGTATCGCAGGGCTCGTTTTGTGCTGGGTACTGCGTGACCTGTCTTTATGCACGCTGGATGAAGTCTGAGAGACCTTCAGGAGCTATGGTGGTTCTTGACTTAGTGATTTAGGCCAAAATAGAGTATGTGGACTTTCAAAAAGATTTTTTTATGAGATCTCTCATCTTGGTTTTTCAAGATAGACTGTTGTGGAGTGAATGGGAGGGCCTTTCATGGATCCGTAACCTATCGGATGGTAAGAATTAAAGTAAGAAAAGGATAAATACTGAAAGGATGATAATTGTTTCTGATAAATTTCTCAGAGTAATCAAAACTGAAACTTCACGGAGCCATAGCAGTGTGTTGTGATACTGAATGATTAATTGCTATAATTACAAACAAAATTCAAAACCAATAAATATCAGAAGTATACATGGGAAGAAGAACACAACTGTAACTGTATCTGTTCAATACTAGACTCTGAGCCGTTAGAACTCAGAAAAGAGATCACGGTCATTGTGATGGTTCTCTGTAAGTGGCAGGTTGATGCTCAGCAATAAAAACGGAATACAGGTTATTAGAGGCTGCTGTGAAAAGAACTGAGGACAAATTAAAACCATTATAGCATTGGTGTGTCAATATCTTGAATACTGCCTGTAGTTTTGGTCACCACGGTATTCTTGTTCACCTCTGCTTTCCAAAAAAGGTGTGATAGAATTAGGATATGCCCAAAGAAAGATGGCAGGGATGGTTAGGCAAACGCAGTGCCTTCTGCTTGTAGAGGCAATAAAACAGACTAGAATTTTTCAGCTTGCAATGAAAGTGATTGGGGATGGGGTTGTGGTAAAGAGCCATAAAATCATAATTTGTATGGAAAAAACGAATAGGAAGAAATTTTTCATTGTTTCTTTAAACGGAAGAGCCTGAGGCTGCTTACAGATGTTTAGATAGCAGGCTTGAGGAAAGAGAAAAGTGTACTTCTTCATACAGTTCATAATTAAATAATGGAACTCATTGCCACAGGATGCTGTGGAGTTTGAGGATAAATGGAGTTAGCCTACTTAGGTCCAGGGAGAAAGGGACTAAGCATTTTCATGGATGATTGATCTGATTGGGTTAATCATATGCAGTGGTCCAGGTGTAACCTCTGGCTCGCAATAGATTACCAGAAGGTAGGAAGGCAAGAAGGGGAAGGGATCACTCTGCACTTGCTCTGTTTGATATACCTGTTCTCTAGGCGGCTTCAGCTGGTTTAGAGAAAGGACGCTTGGCAATGTGAAACTTCACCTAGATGATCCTAGATGATGGTGGAATAAGAGAGTTTAGGTATACATTAGACTGAAATTACTTTGTACTTTATTTTGCATTCAAAATTAGTAAATAAGAAACAAATCAGTAAATATTCATGTGATGTCTTTGAATGATGATGTTCATCAAGTCATCAAAGCATGCTGTCTTTTTCCTCTCCCCAATAGAATCTTTGATTGGTGAAACTTTCGTTGAAAGGATTATTGATAAACTTCAAGCAGCTCTGTCTAAAGCTAAGGATCTTTCTGAAGCTGGAAACACTGAACCATCAGTATCTTTCATCTGCGATGTAGCCTCAAGCTTTTTCAGCTCAGTTAAAGGGTGTTTACTGATGCCATCCGCAGAAGACTTGCTGCTTACCATCTTCCAGTTGTGTGCTCAGAGGCAGGACGCTACGCACTTAACAGGTAATTTGGAAAAAGAACTTCAACCACACTTTTTGTAGTTGATGATTACATCTAAATTCTTTGGTTTTGATGAAACAGATTCAAGTATATAGTAGAATGTTGAGTTCACAGACATTGAGCACTTGCAGCTGTAACTGACATGAGAACTTGTGCTTTAGTTTACCATGCCGGTAGTTACTACTAAACATCAGCTCCTGTACATCTTTACAAGGATTTTAAACTTTTTTGATATTAGCATCCTTGTGTTTCAGTTGTCTTTGAGGTTGTGATATTCCCCACTCTCTGGAGCGTTACTTAGATTATTTAAAGTCTATGAACTACAAAGAATGAACCTTTTTTTTTTTGTCGTTCTGCAGTGTGGGGATCCTATGAAAAAGTGTGTGCAGTCACTTCACTAAAGATACATATGTTTATTTTGAAACCACTTATATTGGTCAAGTTGCTCTGGCAAATTGTGACCCTTTCTTCTCTCCACCAGCATCTCATTTACAGACTGAGATCCTGGTTTATATTCTTTGAATGCAGAATTTGAGAGTGATAAATTGGTATATGCATTTACTGACACAAAGGAGGAAATGTTGCAGTGTTGTTGTAGAAGTGAAGTAGGACAACACTAGCCTGAAAAGCACTGCTGCTTTGCGAATGACTGTTGGTGTTGTGAATGTTCAGTATTTCAGTATTTTAAAAAGTTCTGCGGTTTTGAAGACCGTGCAGTCATACTGTAGTAGTGAACAGGAACATCACTCTTATTCTCAAATAAACATTACCTGTGTGTCAGAGTTAATTTAAAATTGCTTTACAACAAGAAACTTGTGTATTTGCCCTTGGTAGTTATTGCATATAACCACACAGAAAAGGTAATTCTTTTCCTGCTCTAGGACCTTTAGACATGTGATCATTGTTGTATGCTGTAGGTTGTAACATTTGAGTTTACCTGTTTGTGGTGATTTTGCTTGTCTGTTGGGTGTGTGTGTTTTTTTTTTCTTTTCCCTATGATAGATTTACTTGTATGTAAATTAAAACACACTTGGATGTCTGGTGTAAATTCACTTGTGCATCAGCTTCGGAGTATGCAGAAACAGAGTACCTTTTTGCATAAATCTGCACTGTGGGTCAAGAATCAAGTTCAGTCTTCCTCTTTGGATGTTAAAAGGTAATTGTGATGTACGTGTATGTTTCATAATATGTTGTTCTCCAAAACAAACTAAGGTCACTGCTATGCTATTCTTTGTTTAATTGATACGTGTATTACTGAGAGGTTTTTCAGCCAGTCAGAGGTGAGAAGTGTGGGTAGAGCATAACTTAAAATGCCTTTGGTATAGAACGTATATAGATAGCATTGATAGAATGTATATAACATTGTAGCAACATAAAATAAAGCCACTTGCTTTTACTGGATAGTGCCAAATTCGTTTGCAGTGTTTTCTCCTTTTCTCAGGCTTCAGGTTTTGATCTCTGCAGTTAGTGATTTGTTGTCTAAGCTTATGGAAGCTGACGGACAGTCTGGATATCTGGTGGGAGCTTATGTTGAGCATGTCACGCCAAACAAAACTGAGTGGGGGAAATTGCACGAGTCCCTGTCCACCGAGGTATGGAAATGATAATGGACTTGCATGCAGTAGTCAAGCTTACCTCAAGTCTCTGTCCTTTAGGGTGATAAGCATTCTTTATTTTGACATGGCACTGTGGTTATGAATACGCGGAGTCTGTGCAGAGATTCTTTTCGGTGTCTGTCCATGACAGAGGACAAAATCTGTATGTTTATGGCCCCATCCAGAACTACTGGAGAAAATAAAAATCCATGAAATTACCCTTTTCTGCATGAAACACCAG